GCGTCCTCTACTGTGCATGTTAAACACAAGTTGTGTGAATACAGTTCAGACAGGAGATCACAGTTTGTTTCACAACAAATAAAATGCAATTACGCATTCATGTCTGCAGTGTGAACGTAGCCTTAGAGAACTGATTGGTAACTAAACATTTAGCAATGAAACTAGCAGATGATTCTGGGTGGATTCTACATCTCTCTTTGTGTTTGAAGTTTTTCCTTTTGTTGAGATAAGGCAACCTTTCACCGATTTTAGAAAACTGTCTGACAGTTTTTTCAGCCATATCCAATCAAACTTATTAGAATAAAAAAATTGGTTCGGGGGTCCTTGGATCCTGGGGGGCTCAGAGGTGGGTGCCTGGCGGGTCTAGCCCTGGGGTTTGTTGCCCCCATTGGGGCGGGGTCTTGGGCGCCTTGGGGGGGTCCTACGGCGGCCGCGTGCGGTGCTCTTGGGGGGTTCCGTGGTGGCGGACGTGGGCTACTGGCCTGGTAGCTGTGCTGCTGCTGGGTGGGGCTGGGCGCCGGGCATCAGTTCTTTTGTGGTGCCGGCCGGGGTGCTTCGGTTCTGATTTTTCTGGGGAGGAGCGGCTGGGTGGAGGCGCCCTCGCGGTGTGGCGGTGGGTGTTAGACACTGACTTGTTTTCGGCTGCGCTTCTTCAATGAGGGGGATTTTTTTTATTTTTTTTTGTGTGGGAGGGGGGGTGTGACCGGGGGAATCGGAGCTTGGAATGGGGCTCGGGATTTGTGCTTTGCTGTGTTGTGTGGCTTTCTTCTTCTTCGGATTGGTGTTGTAGGACCGGTGTGGGGGGGTGTCGTTCGGGCGCCGGTGTCAAGGTGGGGGTGTTGGTGCCGGCGCCGGGGGTTTTTGGGCATTGCCCGGCCCTACTGCTGAGTCCGGGGGAGCTGGCTCCCTGGGAGTGCAGTAAGCACCCGAAATCCTCCCTCTGCCTTTGGCTCATTCCTGGCAGCCTCTCCACGGGCCCCCGCCGGCCGGGGCCTTGCTGGGGCTCCTGTCTGGGGGTCAGGCGCCCCTGGGGCCTCGGATCCCTGGGGCCCGGGACTGGATTCACTTCGGGGTGGGGCTGGGTGTTCTTCGGGGATTTTCGGTGCCGGTGCTGGTGCCTTCGCTTCGATGCCGGTTCCTGGGCGATGCTTTTTCCGATGCCGGTTTAAGGTATCGGTTCGGGGAGGAGGAGAGCTGCACGGCATGGTGAGGTGCAGGTCTTGGGTTTTGTTTTGGGCTCTGGTTTTCCCGTTTGCATTTCTCCTCTTGCATAGGGGAATTTTAATTTATTTTATTTTTATTTATTTATTTATTTATTTTTTATTTTTTTGTTTTATTTATTAATTAATTTTTTTCCGGTGGGGAGGAGCGGTTGCGGGCGGGTCGGTGTCTGGTGTCCACTGTTGCATTGTGGGGTCTTTCTGCTTGGCGTTCACGTGTGGCTGCGGGGCGGGTGGGGGGTGGAGTGGCTCCGACCGGCGCGCGTCGGGGGGGGCCGGGGGCGAAGCTGCTTCGGCAGCGTGTCGGGGGCTGGTGCGGGCGGCGGAGGGGGGCGGCGGACGCGACTATGCTGCTCTGGCTTCATCTGGTGGGGGAGCGGCGTGGTTCGCTTTGTGCTGCCCGTGGGCTGCTGGAGGGGGGGGTGATTGCGCCGGCTGCAGTCTGCTCTTCTTGCAGTCGGGCGCCGGGCGGCTTTTCTGCTCTTGGGTTAATTCTGTGCACGGTGTGTTGCGTTGCGCGCTGTTAGCATCGGTCTTGGTGGGGTGGGGCCGCACTTTTGGCCTGGGGGGCGTTTTGGGGGGGTTCCGCGGCGCTCGCGGCCGGTTCGCGGTGGATGCGCTTGGGCCCTGGCTGTGGGCGTGGCCGCCTGTGTGTTTTTCCTGGGTGGTGCGGTCGCGTTGGGTGTTGCGGCCGGTCGCCGAGGCTTGGTGCCGGGGGGCGGGGCATGTTTCAGTGCTCTTTGGGGCCGAGGCGTATTGGTCGGTGCCATGGGGGGGCCGGTGTTCGGTGCCGGGCTCTATGTTGGGGTGGCCGGCTGCCGGTGGAGCCCGCAGACTCGTCCCCGCATCAAGACAATTATTTTTATTGCCACATTGCCAGACAGGACACTGTAAAAAAAAAATAAATAAATAAACCACTTACAGTATTTGTCGTAACAAGGAAAATAAAAAAATAACTAACACAACTAAGGTACCAGCCACAACTTAATATGCATATCTGATGTAAATAGAAGGGTTTTATTTGTAGGGTTTGCATATGTTGAGTTTATGGTAACAGATTATTTTTGCTATAGATTTCTTTAAAATTACTTTTATTGTATTTTCTTGTCTTTAAAATATAGAAGTCCATTTTGTCAAACATTTCAATTTGATAATGCCAGAACTTAACTTTCCACAACTGTATTACATTTCAATGATTTAAGAAGATAAACAGCTTTACATAATTATTTTGCCTAACCATGCAGAGTTTATGAAGCACCAAAACCAAACTGTCTCAATTTGTTTTTTTAAATGTATATAGGCTACTACACACGTGAACTACTGCAGCTGCAATTGTTGCAAATGCAACTGAAATGCAATTACTTGATATGAAAATGTCAAAAACTCATGTTATATCATGCACACACTCCTTCTGCATTGATTTAAATTAAATTACCATAATGCTTAAAATATATATTTTTTTTATTTTTGCTCGGCTAGTAACTGTTTAAGCGAAGGGAAAATAGATTGTATTAAGGGCAAGTAGCCCATCATTTAACCCATCATTCCAACATATAGTTTTTGTAGCACTTCTTCTTTAACTTGATTAAATGTGCTATGCTAGCTCTAACCGGGGGTTAGAGGCTGCACTGACTGTGATGTGGCATAAAAAGTGTGTTTTTATGCATAAATGTTGGACATTTGTGCATAAAAATGTCAACATGCTGGACATGTGCAGGTGTTTCAGAACTTGACATCATGTGACATAGATGCCTTTTTCAAGAGTGTACTCAAAAAAATTCAGGCACGCTTAACTCGAAAAAAGGTAAAATTCTTTGTATAGCTCTAAAAATGGCCTGATCTGTGTACAGCAGGTGAGATGTGTTAAAGCTAAAAACAGTGCACTGACAAAATTCTTGCCTCGTTACATATTTCCTGTATTTTTGCTTCAATGAAATTGCTTTAATCAGGCCAGTGTCATGCATTTTTTAATGTTTCCCTGTAAACCCGATTTCTGTTCATGGCTAATGGAATGACTAACAGGCATTCACTGGACTTCAGTCATTTGGTTCAGGTGTGTTAAAGTTCAGAAACATCTCAAGGACACTTCTGACATTGGGCACCCCTGGTTTAGATTCTCAAAAAAAATTTCCTTTGGTTCATTTTCAATGAATGAATGAAAAAGTCAATGAAATAGAACAGGCCCTTTATTAGACTGGTAATATTAACTTTCAGTTTATCTTCAGAAAAAGCAAGATTGGAACAAGTGATAAGTTTTTGTACAATAAATACAATTCGTCTAAATGCTTTGAAAATAGTGTTGGTCACATTTTCTTTATTCTTCCTTTACTGTTCAAATTTGTTAAAACAAATTTTAATGCTCTACTGTTCTTAGCTGACACTGAATTAAATGTATCTTCCTATTTGTGACTGAATTAATTCAATTTGTCTAAATGTATAAAAAAAGAACAATTTGAAGCATTGTAATGCTTCAAATACTAAAACATTAAAGGAGAATGTCTGGTAATCAATTTATAATCTTGAGCTTAAGCAGTTAATTCAGTAAGACATTATTGCAATGCGTCCCTCACTTAAAATGCAACACCTAAAGGCTAAACAAATGTATGTATTTATTGAAAAATAAACATACATATTTAAAATGTATATTTCTGCAAGGAAGAGTCCCAAGAATTCCTTCATATAAACGTAAAAGCCTGACTGATAGTAAATGCCGCTCAATAGATGTTGCCCACAAGGCTCTTCCAAGCCCTTATTAGGTTTGAAGTAGAACCACATTTTCACTCTTTTTTTTCTAATAAAAGAGATCATGATTTTATTTCACCTTTGTATGGTATTAGATTTTGGTTTGATGATCCCAAACACTGAAGATGAAAAGAAGAAAATGAGGAAGAAATATGTTGGGAGGCCAACTCTTTAAAGGCACTGTATTTCATGATGGAAGAGAAGGTAAAGAAGATGTAGCCGCAGCAGGAAAACAGGGTTACACACTGGAATGGTGAAAATTGTTTCTTTCATGCTTAAATTCTGCAACAGTTCAATTATCCAGCTAAAAATCTGAATTGCACAGACACATGCACACACAGACAAACACGCCTTGTCAGAGGGGGAGACAAAGTGAGAGAGAGACCCAGACGTAGACAGAGAGAGAGAGAAACAGTGATGTGGAGCAAAAGTGGCAGTGAGTTTCAGAGAAATGGCAGAAACCAGGGAGAGCAGCCTCCCTACTCGTGACAGCAGCTGAAATCCAATCCACTTGAGGTGAAGGGAAACGGCACTTCCATGAAGGAAATACGCAAAAAAAAAAAAAAAAAGCATATGGGAGGGCTGGAAAAAAGGTTCAAGAAGCAATGCAGGGGGAAAAAAGACAGAAAAATGACAGAGGAAAAAATAGATAAATCTGGTGTGTGGGAGAGTCACAGCAAGAAAGAAAAAGGCAAAACACACAGACTGTTTAGACATTTGTGCCTGTTAGGAATAGTTGGCTGTTTGGATAGTTGTGGTCAGAGTGGGTGGATAATTCAATCAACAAACTGCTTGTGATGAGCCCATGTTGTGCCTGAGTTGCCAAATCCTATCCTTGCCAAACATAGTATTGCGTTTTGCACAGAGATGTTGACAGCATCAATACGAAAAATATCTATTTGCTGAACTTTGTCTTGCTTTGTGATCTCTGCATGATTTCTTGAGTCTTCACAATAAAAAAAACAAACAAACAAACAAAAAAAACCTTTCTGATTTTAAACTATTCATTCTTATTTTTTTCACTGTGTGTTCTCACAGACTTAGATGTTCCAGTTTTGACTGTGCACCAGACGGTTGGCGATATACGTACAGGATTCTACCAAGAGAAGACAGTATTCCTTCGCTGCACTGTCAACTCCAACCCGCCAGCCAGATTCATTTGGAAACGTGGCCCCATGGTCCTCGAACAGAGCAAAGACAGTGGGGTCGATATCTATGAACCTCTTTACACTCAGGTAATCTTTAACCATGTTTTCTGAATCCTGAAATCGTGTTGCTTGGATAAAAGTGAGTCGTATGTTGGATTGTGCAATTTTATGTGGAAGAATAAAACAAAGAGGATTGAATAAGGTAGTTAGTTTTTGAAATGTGCAATATTTATGCACATTTTAATCAAAATTGAAATGTGCATATACAATTCGGCCCTTTAGTTTGACCCACCAATATAAGTGCGGTCTAAGCAAATCCCTTCAGACAGGGGTGGAACTAGCCTAATAGCCTACATAACCCTGTGATTTACATACCCACTTACAGATTTGTTGTTGTTTTTTTTTTTGAGTTGGCATCTCTAAATTTTATTTATCTAAAGATAAAAGACAGTGAATATGCGATCACCAGAATTTTAAAGCATTCTGGTTATGTTTTTTTGTTTTTTTTTGACACCTCATCAGTTTAATTATTCCTACCCGATACTACTTATCTCTTCTATTGCAAATTCAGTAACCAACTTTATGGCTGTCTCCATCAACGACTGCCTTTAGTCCTCTTTAAAAAGTCACGTAGCTAAACAAGCAATAAGTGATATTAGTAAATAAGTAACACTTCTTGATTAAACCTTTTTTTCCTTCCTGTCTGTCCTGATTCATTCTCTCCATTGTCTTTGCTGCATTGTATTCATTTTGTGTAAAGGTGATGAAAAAGCCCCAGTCAAACTACATATAAAAAAAAGAATAAATTAAAATAAACATGAAATGCTATTCTTGCTTCCTATCCGTTACTGATTGGACTCTACGTCTGATCCGAGATATGAAATACATCCCAGCCTTTGTATTTCTTGATTCACTTTCTAGTTAAATAGATAACTGTTTAAGCAGACAACAAAAAGCGAAAACTGTTTTTCTCCCTATGATCTGTTGCAAATACTGATGAGAAGGAGAAAGCTGGGACAATCCAACATTTCTTTCATTTGGCTCTATTACTCAGAGATGCTTTGGATTAGACAATCCACCATCTATCATCTGTCAATAGTCAAAACCATTTAAAGCTGATTAAATAGAGTACATTTTTCAGAATTTGCATCTCAATACAGATTTAGATGTTGCAGCTAATCCTGGATCTTTAAACCATACAGCATTCAGCTTGATCTCAAATAATGACAACAATACAACAAAAAAAGGAGAGCTAAAAATAAATTTCATACCCTGAATGTTTGTTCTGTCTATCCATCTTTAGCTACCAGTCATTAGATTATAAGATTGCACTGTGTGTATCTGTAAGGTTGCAAAGTAAAAGGAAATGTAAAATTCATGCAAAACCAATTTTAAGTCTTCATTTTAAACATAACTTTAAGGGTTAGAAGAAAATTGCTAAATGTGAAGTAATAGCCATTTTTATCTCTATATACAGTCTTTCCAAAGGCTGAGAGGCATTTCATGCAATTTATATTATCTTCTGAAAGTTTAATTTATGGACCATAAGGCACCAGCTATGCATATCATTTCTTTACAGTTTGTATTCAGTATCAGACGTGGTGGTCCTTTCCTTCTCTTTATTGGAATTGTGAATAGCCTTACCTCCATCACTGTTACACCACATGAACATCTCATAATTTCTTGTGTAATAATTCATGCAATTTAGTATAAAATATGTGTCTTTACAAAAGCCGTTTTTTAATAAACAAAAAGATGTGTAAAAATATCACATGTGTTGAGGTCACAAGGTCAAGTCCGATTGGGTAGGCTTATCACCTACCCTATCGGATTCAACGGCTCTGTCTCAGAAAAAACATTACTGTTTTGTTCATGACGGAGAGAGCTGATGAGAGGAGTGCAAGAAAGACTGATTTAAGAAAGAGAAGGATAGAGGGATTTAGATTTTATGTTTTGACCTAAATATGCTATAAAATGTCATTTTTCTAATGTCACAGGCAAAGCCTTTTCTAAATGCACCATCCTTTTAGCTCAATAGCTCAATGACGATTAAGTTCACATAATTCTTCACATACACTCTGTTGGATGTGGCTTTATAAGACTAAATGCAGCATAAAATACACGAAATTATCTATTCTTTCATAGATATACAGTTTTTCTAATGTAGCTAAAATGTGGTGAGACTGTGGGCCTGAAAAACTAAGGAAACAATCACACTTCAGTTTTTTAAATTTTTTGATATTTTGTGTTATGTTTTTTTTCTTATGGCCGTTCATATCATTAATTGAATGTGACCATTATCAGACCTCCGTCTGAACTGTTCAGGAGATCAAAGCAACCTGAAAGCTCTGTCTATGGAAGTAATGTTGAATGTCACCATCTGTAGTGTTCAATGCAACTTAGTTGAAAAAAAGAAAACTTTTGAGCAAAACATTGAGCCTCATCATTAACAAAGTAGGTTGTGTAGTGGTAGCCCTGGCAGTGATGTAAAAGACACCTACATTTTGGCATGACTTTCCATAATGGTGCAAATAAGATAATGAATATGCAGTTAGTGCGGGTGTTGTCGGGCATTTACCAAAATTTCGAGCACAACTGATAGTGGGTGTAAAAATGATGAAAACTCTTCTATTTAACCGATGGTTCTACATATTCTACTGGCTCTGACCATGGAGATTTTGGGAACGCAGGGAGGATTTGTTTTGCACATCCCAAATGCAGTTAGCCAGACTTTATTAAGTATACATTGCACATCAATCGGGTATAAATAAATACTGGTAGAGATCCATTTCCAAGGCAAGACTAACAGGATCAACCTTATCTGACAGATTCAGAACAACAGGACCCAGTTTTCGAGGCGGAGAGACAGTTAGGTTTCACAATGTGTTTATTTACGATGGAATTGTAGAGAACAGTGTCTGCGTCTAAAGCAGGAACCTCTCCAGGTTAGTGACCATGTCTATATGGCGGAGGATGACAATGAATGTGTGAGTCACTAACCTGGTCTTAGAGTTCAGTCCCATGCCCGGAGTAAGAGGTATGTTCCTGCCAGTCAGCTGCCAAGAAGACGCGGTGGATGCTGCCCAGAGAGTCCCAGACGCTGTAGTCCCAGAGGTCTGAGGACAGGCAGGAGATCAGAACTGAGCAACCAAAGGCAGGATAATCCAGAGTCTGGTTCACAGGCAGAATCCATCAAGAGTCTGAGAACAGGTCAGGCAAACAGATCAGAACAGGGACAGGAGGATCAGAGGTCCAGAGGCAGAACAGGTCAGGATCAAGCAATCAGAAACACGCAAGTACCCAAGAGAACTCTCACCAAAGGCTTGAATTATCTGGCACTTATAATTGATTGAGGGCTGGTTTAATAGAGGCTGAAGCAGGTGGATCAAATTAACAATAATGAGAACTGGGTGGAGCTCAGTAGTCATATGCACCAATATCATGACATTATCAGGTTAGGACCATCAGATAACTACGGATGTAACAAAAAAACTTCAAGCAACATGCTTTGCTTTTGTAAAGCAAAGCATGTTGTCCATGAAACAAGTAAAACCACTGAAAAAACTTTCCAGTGAGCAATTTCTGCCGGTTTTGCCTAAAAAATCAAAGAACATCCTGCACTATACCTTTAAGTCAGTGCGGAACAGACCTGACTTAGAGAAACTATTGCATGTCTTTATTTAACACATCTTGATTATTTCAAAGCACTTCATTTAAGTTAGTTGTATCTCTTTTTCATCTTTTTTTTGCTTGTTTAGAATACTTAAGTTTGGCTTTTAACCAGAATTTCTTAGTGTTTACACATTTCACTGGCTTTATCTTCTCTTCATTAGCTCCCTGTGAGTAACAGAATACATTTTCAAATTCTCCTGTTGACATAGGTGGATAAATGGAATTGTAAATCTATAGCTCTCTGGCCTACTACAGTCTCATTTTCCTTCTTGGGCTCTAATATTAAAAGATTAGCGGTCTCCTTTGTTTAAAAAATTATTATTAATAATAGTGATGATCAGACTTTTTCTGTGGTGGCGTGAAAACTTTGGAATATTCTCCCTGCGAATATTGGACAGGCTTCTTCAATTTCATTTTTTAATGTGTCTTCTTAAAACTTTTTTCATTTTATTTTTACTCAGTGTAAGCGTTTACTGATGTTGTTTTTATTTTTTAATTACTGTTGTTTTTATGTTTTTAAATGTGCATTATAAATATGTTTCACTTTACTTTATGTAACTTTATGTTTAAAATTTTTTTTATGTTTTTAATCTTTAAACTATGTGTAATAATGGGTGTTGAATGTCTCTTGCAGGGTGAGACGAAGGTCCTTAAACTGAAAAACCTAAGGCCCAAGGATTTTGATGACTACACTTGCCAGGTGTCTGTGCGCAATGTGTGCAACATTGAAGATAAGTCAGTCACCTTCAGGCTAACAAATGCTACCGGTAAGATTTTGTTGCTTATTCTGTCCTTTACAAAGACAAACACATCTTTGTAATCCACAGACACACAGACACACACACATACACACACACACACACACACCCATGTTGTGTCACAATATCCTTGTGGGGACCTTCCATTGACTTCCATTCATTTCCCACTAATTTATATGGCCTAACCGTGACCCTTGCCCTAACCCTAACCATTACCGACACATACCTATCCCTAAACCTAACCTAAACTCAATTCACACCTAAGTCCTAAACCTAACCCCCACCCTAAGAAGAGAAACTTTCCCTATGGGGACCAGTTGTTGGTCCCCACAAGTACCTATGAGTCCCCAAAATGTAGCATATTCCTAGGAAATTGTCCCCACCAGGTATTAAAGACATGGCCACACATACACACACATTATACACATACACACACACACACACATATATATATTCTTTGTCTATTTTCTTGTAAATGTGTTGCTTCTATATATCTTTTATTCTTTTAAGATTTTACAGCATTTTTTTTTTCATCGTAGTTTTCTCTGTTACTTGCTGTAAATTGGCTCAGAAATCTGCTTTTAATTACTTTATCAATAAAGCCCATCCATTTCTCTCATCTTCTCACATTCCTGCTATGTATCAGTCTCTTTACCTCCCTTTTTATTGGGGCAGCTGTTTTTCCTTCCTCTAACCGTCTCTATTTTCTTGCCTGTCTCCTTCCACGCAGCGTTGTCTTCCTGTCTAGTTTTTCTGTTGCTGAGAGCTCATCTCAGGGCCGTCAGCTGTAATTCAGTTGTCACGCTCCCTGTTATCTCCAATTCTCTTTGCACGTCTCTGTCCATCTACACGCCACCGCCCAGCAACTCTCTTACTTACAGCAACACTGTTGCCATTGACAGTCTTGTCAGGTTTATTACGGTCAGGCTGATGCACCGCAAGGGGAATCCTAGAGCTTTGTTTATTTTAAAAACATTTTAATTCCTCTTTGTATTTATCTTTTTTGTTTTGCTTTGCTTTACCGCTATTATCAAAACTTTTATGTGCTTTTTAAATAAACCTTTTATGTTATAAATTTAGTAAACTGACAATCCTAGTTCAGATGTTTGTCAAAGTTAGTTAGTCAAGCATTAATGGAGCCTAAACACTTGTTGTATGTTGTTCTCATGGTCAAAGTGGCTGAATAAGTGCAAACAAGCAGCACGAGGTAGGCAATCTTTGAATGATTGTTTTATTTGAGTTCATGCTGTGGGCAAAATATGCAACATTGCATGCTAAAGTTGCATTCTTTAAATCTCCACCCTGGAACTGGAAAAAAATTAAACATTAATACTCCCTCTCAGCAAGAGTTGGACGATTTTGGTAATGGGCTTTTTTTCCTTAGATGAAAAGGTCTATCATGTTTTTTTTCACTCTCTTTTTTTCTGTAGAAGCAACTAACCTGTCTTGGCTTTGATCAAAGGCAATACAATCTGCCAACTAGGGCCTCTTTGACTTTAAAGTTTACACACATATCTTATTTACTGCATCTATAGCAAAACCAATGGTTTTCAATTGCAAGTTATTCCAGTGACTTATTTGCTATTAATAATATATATTCTCCAACAATAAAACATATTATCAGAGTAGCTGATGTTAGCATGTATCTTCACCTGCTCTTCTAACAAGCATTAGCATGTTCGCCCATTTTCAACATCTGTTGTTGGACTAAAGTGGGAGAAAATCAGACCGACTAAACAAAGCCCAATTTACAAAGACACATGGCTTTATCTGAGGTCATCTTCCTAAGGATCGCTCCTCTTTGTCCTCTTTCTGTCCTCTTTCATTAATGTGTCTTCTGCGGTGAGATTAAGCACCCAAGAGTCCAATACATGCCTTTGCATTTTTTTGGAATCATTAAGGTGTATTGCTTTTATTTTTTACCCTTGGCTTAATGCCACTATGAAATAATTTCTGAATCACCTCATCTGGAAAGTTTCAACATGTATGCCTTGTATGCCTTTTGTTAACACGAACTTCAACAAATACTAACTAGTCAAAGTTTGAATCATTACTTCATACTCACATTACAAGCATATCACGGATCATTCTAAAATTATATCCCCCCTAAAATTATAACCGGTTTCAACCCAGGAACAATGCAGGAAAAAAACTAGGTTTTCACTGGGAAAGCAGCCATATATAACGTCATCTGCAAATAACATTTGGACGGCTTCTTTATTCATACAACAACAAAGATGCAGGTATTAATCAATGGTGTACTTTTGATGAATGTTCTTTATTTGAACAGAATGAACTATCATGTTGCTCAGGTTGATTATTAAAGCTTTTGGGGTGTGAATACTTCACACTTATTGTAGCCTTTGCTGACCAGTAGGATACTTTAATGCCTCTTATAAAATATTAACTTCCCCTTTTTCTCTCTCTTACTGACATGACACTGTTCTTCTTCTTTTGCTGCAGAAAGTCAGTTAGGCGTTAGATGTTAGTACTTTATTCTTTAATTATGAGGATTGTTTTTTTTTAATGTTTTACAAGAAAACAAGGCTGAATTCACCTCATTTGACAACAGTGAAGCATGATTCCAAAGACAAATTAGGAAACAAGTCAAAAAAGCTGCTGTTTTATGGCTTAATTGAAGTGAAATACACAGAAGGGAACCAGAATTCAGAGGGAGAATAGGACAAATTTGATAAAAAATAACAATCACAAGAAAAGAAAATACAGACATATTCAATTTGACATAGCAACTAAAATATCAGAATCAGAGCTTGAAAATAACACTGAAATCAAAAGAAAAATAAATAGAAAGTAAAAAAAGTCAAAGTCAAACAACAGAAATATTCGGCCAAGGGGACAATAAATAACGTTTATCTTAAAAAACAAAAATGCTGAGATAAAAAAAAAAAACTAAATACAAAACAACTGACTTTCCTATCTATCTATCTATCTATCTATCTATCTCTATATATATATATATATATATATATATATATATATATATATATATATATATATATATATATATATATATATATATATATATATATATATATATATATATATATATATATATATATATATCCTACACTTATCTGTTTGTCATGGCAGCATTACTCTCTGTTTAGACCAGATTAATCCAGTAATGTCATATCATCATCTTTGATAGATCACAATGGGAGAAAGAGATTAATTTGTCTGTTTTATTTTTCATTATAATCCTGTCCAGGGACTTTTACACTGGGCTACCATTAAATCCCATTCAGTGACAAAATCCTCTTTTTGCCTCTTAAAATGAAATTGTATTTGTTGAGGAGTGCTGTAGTTCTGTCACCATAGTTAGAGAGACAAAATATACAAGCATATATTTAAGATGGTTTAAGTAACTATATCAGACATTTCAGCTCTGAGATTCAGCTTTGAGGTGTTTAAAACTACATAAGACTATATCTAAAAAAAGAGCTCCAATGAAGAAACATTAGTGACCTGAGATCCAGGTGTTGGAGAGATAAGGTAGGACTGGTCTGTTAAATTAAATCCAATTGAGCTTCAATGTAGCTCAAATGTCTGAAGAAGTGAATTCCTTTCTGATAGAGAAAAGTCACAATACACAATGTGTTGTGGTTTACTGCCTATGGGACTGTATTGCCAAGAAAGCAGAAAAGTCACTCACGTTCAATGAAATCTCCCAAAAAATGGATCTTTGAGGTTTAAAACTTGGCAAATATGTGATGCAAAAAGATGGCCTGGACTAATAAATTATGAGCCGTTTTTTAATACATGTACTTGGGCTCTCTCATGTGCTTGTGTGAAACGTCCTCAACCTCAGCCCTAGCACTGTTCCAATTCACAAGGACAGAAGACTGAGAATGGACAAAGTCCCCGGATGTTGTTCTCGCCCCCCCTATACTGAGCATGCATCAGAGCAGACTTGTCCGTTCTCGCGATTGACTGCCGTCCCAGCATGCACTGCGGCAGTAGCAACTTTCAATGAAGCACTCACTGAGCTCAGAATATTAAGTTAAAAGTTCTCTTTTCTATTGCTTATTCTATAAAAGTATGTTTTAGGATCATTTCAGTCGAGAACATTATATCTTTAAGCTTCACTATATGGCCCATTTACTGATTTAGTGCGTAATTAAAAAATAAATCCGATGTTGAGAGGACCATGGCAACCAATCGGAGCTCCGAGGCTAACCAGGCTAATGTTTGCCTGTCTGCAGCGGCCCTCTCTCGGCATAGCCGTGTGTGAAAGACTGCTGGCTCTGATGGCGATTTTTTTTGTTTTATTTGGCAAAATGTTAATTTGCTTTGTGCTTATCTGACTGTGTTAATTATTACTCCCCCACTAAATGAAAAAAGTTAGAATTTATTATTATCTAATGACTATTAATAACGGGAGGTGAAATGCAGCTCCAGACAAGCCGAGCGTGTGGTGACGTCACGTATGCTTCTGTTCCGATTGACCAGGATTTATGCTGCGTGCTCCGGTTCTCCCCAAGTCCATACTTTCCTGTGTTCTTGTCACAAAACATACTTGTGGGAACACAAGTCCTTTCTCTCGTTCTTGTGAATTGAGAAACAGTCAATGTGTCTTCAGATGATGTGAATGGCCAGGTAAAAGTGCACTATTTGAGAGATTTAAGAAACACATCACACTAGGTTTTACAGCTGGAAGACAGCAGACAGTAGAATGCCTTTAGGGTGTGTTGTGGAATAAATGTCTTGATCACTCATGCCTGTTTTTGCAATAAGATGGAACGAAACCCTCTCAGGAAGGCAGTTATATTTTGAATCATCTTAGTATCTTTTTTGTATTCAGTTTTTGGTTTTATACTTTAATAAAAGCATATGTGTGACTAATAATCTCACAATAAGTATTTTAAAAGACAAAAGGCATTTGATTAATAAAGCTGCATGCAGTGAAATTATAATAATAGCTCTGTGTTTATGAAGGTACTTAAAACGAGTGCTAGAAGTGTTTTATCCAAATACCACCTCTGTTTGTC